GTATTCTTTTAACACTGGTTCATTTGGATCATTCTGGAGCTTCTTTTGGTATGAGAATCTGGTACTGGTTCCTGTGGGACTAATTGCACAAATGTCCATGGGCATCTATCCATGGGCATCTCCCACAAGGGCCTGAGATAACTGTTTCAGACACAGGATACATTCATCAGCCTTTTGGACAGACTCTGATAAGAACACCTGCAGTAGCCTTGTATCTGGAGAGTGTCTGTTATTTGATACATTGTAACCACCCCTATATACGTCTTTTGATTATGCTGTGTGATGTAAAAACCTTAGTAACAATAAAAGAGGGTGCTGGAGTCAGCTCTGGGCTCTCATCCCGAGATACCTGTCTGCGTGTCTCATTCTCCATGGGAGACCACCACATCTGGTGACCCCGACGTGATCCACTGAAGGATACGTCCCTGCCAACCCTTTACTTATCGCCTGGAATAGGCTTGGTGCACCCGACGAAGTTGCTGGCAACTGACTCCTCTTCGTAAGTATGGGGGGTGGAATGTCTCACGCTCAAAAGCAGCATGTGGAAGAGCTGAGGCTACTTGGCAGGAAAAAATATCTTACTGATCAGGAACAGAAATTAACCCGTCACCTTTCTAAATCTGAGGCTGTTAAATTGCTTGCTTACGTATGGGCTAACTGCTCATCCTATCCGGAGTCTGGATCTTTAAAAGTAGATACATGGAGGAAAATTGGTACTGTTCTCCACCAGTCTCCAAAAGCCCCTGTAGAGATTTTGTGCCTTTGGAAAATTGCCTATACTCTGATTCAAACCTATGCTGAATTGCCTCATCAGCCTTTATTAGATCCTCCACCTTATAAAAATCCGTCTGTTATGTTGGCCACTCCCTTACACCCTGGAGCTGGTTTTAACCCTTCTGTCCCTGCAAATTTTATGGATTCTGATAAACAGCAAATAGCCTCTCCTGTTCCTGCCACGTTGCCGCCTCTCTCCCGGCCCGGAATCATCCGTGGTGCTTTTCAAAAGGCTTTAAACAATGGTGATTTAAGCGTTTCTGAACTATCCGAGACAGAGTTGTTCCCTGTTACTTACCAACAGACAGCAGCGGGCATAGTGGTTGACTGGGAGACACTTCCCCTGGCTATGATCAGAGAATTGAAAAAGGCTACAAAAGATTATGGCATAACCAGTCCCTATACTAGAGGACTGATACATTCAATTGCTAGTGCATATCGAATGTTGCCTCAAGATTGGAAAGATTTGTTCCGCATGCTTCTTAACGGAACACAATACGTAGTCTTTGAATCTGAATATAAAAGAGAGGCACAACAGAGAGCTAATCACCCAGGTTCACAATACACAGCAGAACAACTCTTTGGGGAAGGTAATTTTGCTACCCTTAATGCTCAAGCTTTTACTCCCTTTGCATTTCCTATCATTAATGCTTGTGTTCTTTCTGCCATGGCTCGTGTTGATGAGTCTGGCACCCCAATTCAATCTTTTTCTGCCATTCGCCAAACTGCAACTGAACCCTATGCAGACTTTGTGAATCGCTTGCAAGTTGCCATTGAACGTCAAATTTCAAACAGAGATGCAGCAAATGAAATCCTCATAAAATTGGCTTATGAACATGCAAATGCAGACTGCCAGTCCATTCTTAAACCAATTGTTTCCAGTCCCACGGCCACTCTGGCAGACTTTCTTAAAGCCTGTCGCATTGTGGGAACCAATGCTTTTCAAATGGACACTCTTGCAGCTGCAATCCAAAAGGGGAAGCAACCCCAAGGCACTTGCTTCAATTATACTCTTCAAATGTATTGCAACTTTCTCTTGCTGACTGGGCAGGATCTGTTTCCTGTCATGTTCCCTCTGACCCTCGCTTCCAACTCCTTAATAATGTTTCAATTTCTCTGCATTCTCCCATTTCCTCCTCTCCCATTCCTAACGCTGTCACCCTGTATGTTGATGGCAGCAAGACTTATGGTTCATGTGTATGGAAGGAGGGTGAACAATGGCACACAAAAATTACTCCTCCTCAAACTTCTGCTCAGCGTGCTGAACTTGCTGCTACAATATTGGCCTTACAAACTTTTTCTTCTGAACCTTTTAATCTTATTTTAGATAGTCTTTATGTATATAAAGTTCTCACCTCTTTATCTGATTCATATGTGTCACCCTCACTGGATGACTCTCTCCTCAGTCTATTTCTCACACTTCAATCCCTTCTTCATTCCCGCTCTACTTGTTTTTTTCCTGCTCATATTAGAAGTCACCAACCTTTCCCTGGTATTATCTCCGAAGGCAATGCCAAGGCGGATGCTGCCGCTTCGGCCGCCTCCACTCAACAGGACGTTTCCGTCCTTGTTTTATCTCCCATAACTCCATGGGACAGCCATTCATATTTTCATCAAAATAAGAAGGCTTTAATGAAACAATTTTCTTTAACAGCTACGGAGGCTGCGGCTATCATACAACAATGTCCCACCTGCAGCCTCCAAGCACACTCTGTTCCTCAAGGGGTCAACCCAAGAGGGACGCAGAGCTGTCAACTTTGGCAAATGGATGTTACGCAATATTTGCCATTTGCCCCTTGGAAATATTTGCATGTTTCCATTGACACCTATTCAGGTTTTATTATGGCCACCCCTCAAAGGGGTGAGTCTGCTAAACATGTTATTAATCATTGTATTCGTACTTTTTCTACCCTGGGCAATCCAAAAGAAATTAAGACTGATAACTCTCCTGCTTATACCAGCACCTCCTTTGCGCAGTTTTGCTCTCGCTGGTCTATTGTTCATAAATTTGGCATTCCATATAACTCCACTGGTCAAGCGATCGAGCCAATCAGACCGTAAAAAAGGCTCTAGACATGCATGCAAAAAAGAAAGGGGAAAATACCCCCGGCTTGCCTGGGATACAAAACACTCTTAATCTTGTACTTTTTACCTTAAACTTTTTGAATGTTTCTGGCACCCCTGGCTCAACTGCCGCAAGCAGGCATTTTTCTGCTTCTCCCACAGATTCTTCACGCCCCCAGGTATACTATCGACGTTTGCCTGATCCCACCTGGAAAGGGCCTGCCTCCCTCATTACCTGGGGTCGAGGCTACGCTGCAATAGACGACCATGGCGAGATCATTTGGACTCCAGCTCGTTGTGTTCGTCCTTATATGGCTCAACGTACACCACCTCAGCCAGGCATATGAGGATCAGGGACTGTGGGCTTTTAATGCTTTTGTACGGGATGCCAGGCGCACTGCTCTTACACTTAACGTCACGAACTGTTGGATCTGCATGCAAATCCCTGGTGACAGTCGTGGTGGCCTTATTTTCCATGCCATCCCGTTCAATGAAACAGGATGGAAGCAGCTGTGGAGCATAACTACAGAGACATTGCATAAGACATATGCTGTGGGCGCTCGTATAATGGAACCTGCCAGATTTTGTTTTTATAGCACAGGACTATTCCGTACTGCTACTTATTTGGGAACTTATAGTAATTGTCAACAAGTTATTATATGGAATTCAGCAAAGAGATGCAAATCCATCAACAGCAACCTTACTAGGATAAATGACACTTATCGAAGCAATCAATGGACAAACATCAGTACCTACATGGCTTGCCTTGACATGGAATCCATAATAACATTTGCTAATGAGTCTCACCAGGGTTATTATGAGTTACCCGATATGTGGCTACTATGTGGCCGTAGAGCCTATCGCCAGGTGCCTAAGGATTGGAAAGGCACCTGTACACTGGGCCTTTTGACTCCTGCTGTATATGCCTTGCCTCATCTCCCTGATGGACGCCTGCGGAACAAACGTGATACTGGTTCCTCGGATCCACCCCTAACATTGGGTGGTAGTTTAGAGACTCAAATCAGCAGAGGGATTCTACCCAATCTAGGAGTTGCCATGAACTATAGAGACCTTCATTTGCTTAACAATTGGACTGTTCATATGTTTAATGAAACAATTAACAGCATTAAAATGATTAATCAAGAAATGGGGGAAATAAGGGAAGTAGTTTTGCAAAATCGGTATGCTTTAGATATTATTTTAGCAGCAAAAGGCGGTGTATGTGCCTTAATTCATTCTCATTGTTGTATATATATACATGATTTTCAACCTAATATTTCTGCTACAGCTAGAAAAATGGAATCTTTGCTCCAAAATAATCCCTTACGCAGCGATGGATCAGGCACCGTGGATATTTGGGGTGCCCTTTGGTCCTGGCTACCGGATGGATCCTGGCTACGATCTTTGATTTCTATTATAGTAACCATTTTGATATTATTTGTATTGCTATGTTGTTGCATTCAATGTATTCCCTCCCTCCTGCAAATGTGCAAAAATGTTACGCCCTCCACTAGGAAGGACGCCTTAATCAGTGAATCAAGATCCCTTCTGGAACTGGAAGTGAGTAACATTGAAAAAACAGAAAAGCAGGAGATGTGGGACTAATTGCACAAATGTCCATGGGCATCTATCCATGGGCATCTCCCACAAGGGCCTGAGATAACTGTTTCAGACACAGGATACATTCATCAGCCTTTTGGACAGACTCTGATAAGAACACCTGCAGTAGCCTTGTATCTGGAGAGTGTCTGTTATTTGATACATTGTAACCACCCCTATATACGTCTTTTGATTATGCTGTGTGATGTAAAAACCTTAGTAACAATAAAAGAGGGTGCTGGAGTCAGCTCTGGGCTCTCATCCCGAGATACCTGCGTGCGTGTCTCATTCTCCATGGGAGACCACCACAGGTTCCGTTCTTGTTTCTCCATGTTTTGAAGGAAATGATAAATCTCTGCTTGTGATGTACTTGTTCCCTCATGCTTGATTAATTTCTTTTAGATTTTTTTCCCACATACTTACTTTTATTTGCATCTTTTTAAAAAATATGTATTTATGAACAAACTAGGTCTAAGCATAAGTGTATATCACTATTAAAATTATTGTAATTGGTTTTTGTAGTTGTTGCTTTACATGTTTTTTGTTGATTTTTCTAATTATAGATCACATTCCAGACCCCAACAACGATCCTACAGTCGCAGCAGCGAAAGAACTAGTCACAGGAGAACCCATAGTGGGTCTCGTGAGAAAGAAAGACGTAAAGGCAGGGATAAAGAGAAAGCAAGGGAGAAGGAAAGATCCAGAGGGAAAGAGAAAGAGCAGCATTACAACAAAAGTGGGTAGGTAACAAGAGAAACACGTTAAATAAGCTATTTTGAATGGTGTTATATGACATTTCATTTTATGGGCTTTTCACAGAAATTTAATTGGCTCTTGTAAGAAAATGGATGCGGAACTATATGGATGCCCTTTAATTTAATTCAGCAGTGCTTTTTTAAATGTTCTTCCTGAGGCTTTTCTACTACTGTTCCTGTTTATGCCCTGTATAGTTCAGTTTCACAGGCCTCTTGCAAATGGATATGATAAGGAACTTGCAGAGAGAGGGGGAATTGGTGTAAATGGAAGGCCATCTTTTAGGTCAAATCCTTATCTTTAAACAGAAAATACACATTTTTATTTATTTATTTTATTTATGAGACTTATATACCGCTTTTTTAAGTGCAAGCTCTCTCTAAGCGGTGTACACCAGTAAGCAATGTATATATATATATATATTTACATTGCCCCCAACAATCTGGGTCCTCATGCAAAGTAGGAATATGATAAAAGAGTATGTTAATATATCAAATAAAAGCAGATGAAAGAGTAGTTTATTTACCAACAAAATAGCTCTATAAAGCAAAGGAATTGCAAAATAAAATTATATAGCATACATCACCAAAGGCGTAGAAACAGAACAGATTTTGTCTAGTATATAATAGCAAGCAATGGGTTTGGTATTCAACAGAAACTGCTCTCTTCTCAGTTTCTTCAAGTGAAAACATCTGGAGTAGGGTCCCACTTTTAAAACTCCCAAAAGACCCCAACAAGAATTTTTTTTTGTATGCATTACATTTGTTGATATTTCCCATAATAAAAATTAAAATTGACATATTTGTAAAATATTTTCTGAGCTGTATAAAAATATTTACTCCATTAGCTGTTATAAAATATTTTTTAAGAAAAAAACTCTATATTTTTTAAGAAATAAAAACTAATGGTGAAAAGAAGGATATTGTTTCAATTTTTTTGCAAATATTTTCAAAATTTAGCAATTAATTTTGATCCCCCAATGGGATCTTCTTTCTAAAGGAATACCTTCAGAGAACATTTTAAATGAAAGCCTGAGAATTTTAATGAAAGCCTGAGTCTGAGAAATAGTCCCTTTTCTATGTTTTTTTTTAATTTCTTTACCCACGATTACTGTAATAATAAAAGCCCCCCCTCCCAATTTTACTGCTTTAGATAAACCATTTATTTTATTTTACATAGCTGTCCATCTCAATCTGGGCAGTAAACAATTCTAAAATAATGAAAAACAGTATAAAATAAATATATGCAGCAGGCTGAGAAAATTATCATAAGTATATATGAATTTTCTTAGTGATTTCAGTAGAAACATGTTTAAAGATTAAAACAATTATGACAACTATAGGAAAACTTCTTCCAGGAAGCATGGCAAACTCAGGACAGTTTTGCTAGAGTGAGGAGCTAATGACTGTGGTGAAAAGAGGAGTTGATGAATGAGTTGGTTCCCCAAACTCCTCTCTGGATTAAGAAGAGGACCTGGGATCACCCTTAGTGCATCATGTAGATGTTCCCCCCATAAAACAATCTTTGATGGGTTTAGCTTTGTGAGCTGGGAGAGTCAGTTTTGCCCAAGCAGTGGTTTGGAGCCTTCAAAAGAGACACTGAGTTCGTCGGCTTTCTTTCTTAATCACTTTCACTGGATATGGTTTGTAAATTTCTTTTGGATATTAAGAATCTTCAGAAGACTGATTTTATTACACTGTACTATTTTCCTTCAATTCTTAGCAAAAGAGATTTTATGTAAGTTGAAGAACATAACCCGGTATTTATTTGGAAATAATTAGCAAAAGAGTGATTAGAATGTTGATTTTGGAAAACTTTTAAACAGATTAAGGGATTCGCTAGAAGCAAGATAATGAAATAATTGTAAGAATGTGTTGTGGTTTGTTTAAAAATGTCTTAAAATATATGAATATTTTGAATTTAAGTGTAAGAAATTTTTTTCTGGGAAAATATGGATTAGAGAAAAACGTCTTGAGACTTTGAAGGCTGGGTACTAGAAGCAGCTAGAAAGATTATAATTAAAAGAGAAGTCCCACTAATACTGAACAGAGAAAGTATTTTAACTCTAGAAAAATTCAACATTTTTTGGTAACAGTGCACTCAGAACTTCGTTTCTGTAAAATGGACTCAAAAGAGAAGAGGATAGAACTGAGAATTAGGCTGTTTTGGATATGTATTTAAAATTGACAGGTGACAAGAATGACATTGACAAAGATGTTATATGGATTTACAAATGAAACCAGTTGCTGTTTTAATAGTTAAAAGAGATAAACAAATAATAAATCAGAGCAGTGACTTGGATGTATGGATTTCAATTTGCTGGATTAAGATTGACTAATGAAGCTTCATTGTTGGCTAATAAATAAAAAATGAGGTATAATACAAAGAGATTTTAGGTTAAAATATCAGAAGGTGATAAATTACGGAAATTGTACTTGTCTTGATGAAAGGGGAAGTCATTTTGTTAACATTTTCCCCCTTTTTAAACAATTTTTTCTCCCTCTTTTCCTTCTCCTTGCACTTTTTATTTTTTATTTTTATTTTTCATATTTTTATTAGTTTGTATTAGTTTTTTAATTTTTAAATTTCAATAAAAATATTATATAAAGGGGAAAACTTCCTCAGATAATGTGAGCTGTGGAAAAAAAAATCACAAGCCATTTAGGTTTTTAAAACTAATAACCAGCATTTTGTAATTCAGCCAGAAGGAAATTGGCCGCTGGTGTGTGCTTTTAAGCACAGTCATAATGTGGCTCTTTTGAGTTTTTCCAGAAACCATCCTGATCGCTGAGTTTTGTATCATCAAAAGTTTTGTGATTAGATGCAGAGGCATGTAGAGTTTGTTATAGTAGTCAGTCCTAGAGATCACTAGTATTTTAAAGTTTGCTTTCTTCAGTTAAAGTTAGTCATACTAAGGTCTCAGTGTATAAAACCTGAAAAAAACCCATCTCCAGTGGTGGGATTCAGCCAGTTCGCACCAGTCCAGCAGAACTGATAGCTACTTTTTTGTTGCCCAGGCCCAGAATGGACTTCCGGAAGTGGCATCCACACAGAGAACTGGTTGTTCACATATTTGGATCCCACTACTGCCCATCTTCCAACTTCATATCTGCACTTTCTGGTGAATGTAACCTCATTTGGATTTGGAAGATCTACTTCTTTAAACTATTAGTCTCCACTTTGTCTGCTTTGATTTACTCTTCCTCATTAAGCTAATATTGACGGGAGGGAAGCATTCTGAATAAACATTATATAACCTGAATTATTAGAAAGAGAAAATGGTAATACTTTATTATACCATCCAATTCTAATGGATGGTATAGAGAACCAAAAAATTCATAAAAGTATTAAATCAGACAGACAGTCTGGACTATATCTAAAAAGCAATGCAAGTCAATACAAAATAGCCCCCCTTGTGATTTGTATGTATTGAAAGGATTGAAGACAGATTAATTGGGACAGAGTAGATTGGTAGCATGATGATGTTACTTAGTTGGGTAATGAAACTTCTGCAAGAAAACAACTAATCTCAGTGAGCACCAAGGACCTCTTAGATTGAGAAAGTACACCATTTCAAAGAGCATTTCTTTTAAAATGACATGAGTAAAAATCTTCCCAATATTCAGAAACCTAATATGTAAAATATGATCAATGGATACAGAATTTAGATGTTCTAATAAATAGGCAGTTATAGGAAACAATGGGAATTACTTTGAAAGAAGAGCATTACATTTACACTGCATATTGTGCTTGCAGAAAACTGGTATTTTACATTTATACCCTAGTCATGTTTGCTAAAATAAATGGGACATTTTCTAAAAACGGTTGGAAATTTGAGGATCAGATTAGATCATTCCTTCTTGTTACGTGGCAGTGTTGTAAGTTCAGTAATGATGTTTTTCTTGCGGATGTTTATTACCAAACTAGGTAACATCAGTGTTAGAAGTGGATTCTGCACTTATTTTTATATACCATGTACTATTTTATATACAATTAGTATATAAATATAAGAGCAAACCCCACTCTCTTATAACATTATTGATGTTACCTAGTTTGGTAATGAAACATCTGAATGAAAACCACCAAGCTCAGAAATTACCAAGGACACCAAAATTCAGTAATTCTGGCAAATGATTTATACTGGATTATTTTGCTATAGATCATTTTCTTTCCTTCATTTAATCAGATAATAGAGGTGTGGTGGCGCAGTGGTTAGAACGCAGTACTTATTGCTGCTGCCAACAGTTCGGCAGTTCGAGTCTCACTGGCTCAAGGTTGACTCAACCTTCCATCCTTTCGAGATCGGTAAAATGAGGACCCAGATTGTTGGGGGCAATATGCTGATTCTGTAAACCATTTAGAGTGGGCTGTAAAGCACTGTGAAGAAATATATAAGTCTAAGTGCTATTGCATATATAAGTATATAAGTCTAAGTGCTAAGTTCAAATATCTATTTAATTTTCTTTTTAAAATGCTTAAATATTTAAAATGTTACTATTTTTTTCTTATACTGTTTATATAATGACATTTTCACTTCTTAAGATAATTGGTTTATATGACATAGCAATGATGCTAGATTTAAATACATAATCGGAACATCAACATTATGATTTATTGAAGAAAGAAGTATTTATTGCATGACCATAATCTAACCAGATGTTTTTCATTAGCAAAAATACTGGAAGATCATTTTAATAGATCTCTTTGTGAGTTGTTGTTCAGTGGAACCTTTTATTCTAATAAAAGTCATCTATCAGATTTCCAAAAATGACTACACTGTGTTAGGTACTTCTTTTTCATGTCTGGAGTAAGTAAATGCATTTTCTATACTGTGATACTTAAGTTACTCTCCTGATTCTAATATTGTCAAAATGTGCATAAGTCTGAAGCAAATTAATTTAAATCTAGTGCTTACATCTGTCTCTGATTTATTACTTTATATATACACATGAGCATTTGGCACATCTATGCTTTTGAGCTTTCTCTC